AGATGAGGCCCCACAGGTTCTTCCTTAATTGTACCCCCAGCCCGGGCCCCTTCCCCTCCTGAACTTGCAACCAGGGACTCAGACTGCTCAGGGCACACAGTGTTCTTGACAATGACGCTGACTACTGAGATATCCCCCGACGACAGATCATGATCAGAGGCCTGGGTTGAGACTCCAGGGCCATCTCCAGCAGCTGCTGCTGTTGCTTCTCCAGATTCACCCTCTACGCTGGGTTCTGGCTTCCCCGAGCCTCCTGGCCCCTCATTTTCTTCTGGCCCAGAGTGGATGGCTTCATTTGCATCAATGTCGGGGATGTCAAAGGCAGCAAGGAGGTCGTCAAAATCAGGGGTTTTCATGTCTCCCATGGCGGCAAGTCCCAGACCTGATGAAAACAGGAAGAAGAGGGAGAAACTGCAATCACTGGACGCAGAAACCCGGACCTCCTCCCTCAGGGTCTCCACAGTTCTCTCCTCTCAGAAACCCATGCACACTGACTTAGGCACACCTCCATCAGAGTGCAAATCCGAGAGTTGGTAGAGGCGCTTGGTTTGCCAAACCCTAAAATAGGAAGAAAGGTGGTGTGCACGTCCATAGAAGACACCAAGATCCAGAGAAAGCAGAGGAAAAGACTTCTCAGAAATACACGTACAAGACAAGAGTAACAGAGACGGAGCAATTCAGTGTGTATCTTGGTTCAAAACACCTAAGCCCCTCCTGTGTCCAGTCCATTAATCAGTACTACTGTTCAGGAGGAGCAGACACAATGCTCTAGGTTTAAGAGCTCATTCATGGCAGCATGGTATCCACTCATATTCTTTTTAAGTATAATTTTATTGATTTTAGAGAGGAAGGGAGAGAGAGATAGGAACATCAATGATAAGAGAGAACCATTAATTGGCTGCTTCCTGCATGCCCCCCACTGCAGACTGAGCCTGCAACCCAGGCATATGCCCTGACCGGGAATCAAACCATTATGACCTCCTGGTTCATAGGTCGAAGCTCAACCACTGAGCCACGCCGGCTGGGCTCGGGCTCCATTCATATTCTTCATGGATGTTCTCAGGGTCTACAGCAGTGGTTCTCAACCTTCCTAATGACACGACCCTTTAATATAGTTCCTCATGTTGCGGTGACCCCCAACCATAAAATTATTTTTGTTGCTAGTTCATAACTGTAATTTTGCTACTGTTATGAATCGTAATGTAAATACCTGATATGCAGGATGCATTTTCATTGTTACAAATTTAACATAATTAAAGCATAGTGATTAATCACAAAAACAATATGTAATTATATATGTGTTTTCCGATGGTCTTAGGCGACCCCTGTGAAAGGGTCGTTCGACCCCCCAAAGGGGTCGTGACCCACAGGTTGAGAACCGCTGGTCTACAGAGATCTGAAAAACCATGTCACGAGACACAAGACATGACTCTCGTTCCAGCTTTATCAACAGCCTGCTGGAGATGAGCAAGTTACTCCATTGCCTTCCTTTTGTCGTTTGAATGAAAGAGGGGACAAGTAACCCATATATCATAGGGTTATCCTGAGCATGATATGAAATAGTAAACATGACAGAACCCAGAACACAATTATGACAAGACAAACAAGGCCATGTGAGGTCGTGGCAGGGCTGGGGAGGAGTAAGCACTGGAAATGTAGAGCTGGGATCGAGGCAAGAGTCAGGGATAATTACAAGGTCAAGTCTGAGGCACCTGGGGTCATCACTGGCACCTGGAGACCCAGCTTGGTTAACAGAGAGAAGTGGACTCAGTGTAATCGCCCAAGAAACCAAGATAGAATAAGACACAGGAACAGAAAGAGACAAAGAAACAAGACGGGGAAAACCGAGAGGAGCCTGGTCACAAGGGCCTCGTCGCGTCATAAACACCTGGTGCTCCCTCACCTGCCTTCCCCAGAGTGCCTGGCCCGCCCTGGCCCGCCCCTGCTACCTCCACATCTTGCTCTCTCAGGACTAAAACTCTAGGGTACAAGCTTATCCAGCACAGCTGCCACATGGGGAAAGGCCAGGCCCCTCACCCCGATCACCCCAGTTCCTCCCCTAACTCACACTCCTCCCCCACTTAATTTTCCTTTGGCAACAGTAGCCCAGGAAGTCTCACCAACCCCAACCTTGCCCAGCACAGAAAGAAAAAGAAATCCCACAGGACTGATGTGCCGCTAAAACAACCAGAAGGCCAGCCTAGAGCTGGCGGGGGACCCAGCCTGCTCCCTTACTGCCTTCCCCACCATGTGTCTGTATCTGGAAGACGCTACTGAAGAGTCTCCCCCTGGACACACACACTCCCTGCCCAGCTGCAGCCACTTTCCGGGGCCACTTCTCTCACCTCTTTCTAGGCTGAGACTGTACCTGGAGGTGGTCCCAGCAGGTGGCAGGTGGCATTGCTGGGACCAAGGTGGGGGCAGAGGGTGAGGGTACCAATCAGAGGAAGAAAGGGGCGTTCTCCCCCCCCCCAATTCTGCAGGTCTGCATTTAAACAAAGCCCTCCACCTCCTGCCTCTGCCCTGATGGATGGATCGCTAGGCCCTCTTCTGCCCGGCTCCCTCCTGACCTGGGGAGGCCTGAGCTGCATTTCACTGGAGCTGGCGGCGCACAGATCAATGGGGACTGAGAAAACATCTGCAAACTCGCCTCCTCCAAGCAGCTACCCCCTCCTGCGTCCAAGTGAATAGAGGTCGTCCGAGAGCCAGGAGCAGGCAGAGACCACGCAGAGGAGCTCGGGCAGAGGCTTCCCCACCTCGCTGCCCAGGCCTTTCTGCGGCGGCTGCGCCCAGTCTCTAGGGCTCTGCCCTCCCCCTTCCCTCCGTTCTTCCCCAAAAGCCAAAGGAAAGGGCTAAACAGGAAGAGGGCGAACTGGTGCGGGTTGGGTGGGGGCTCCACTGCCCTTCTCCTGGCCAGGGGCCTGCAACGCAGAGGGCGAGGGGCTGGCGGCTGGGGGCGATGAGGCGGCCGCCAAGCGGGGCAGCGGGCGGAATTAAGTCCCTGCCATCTGCCGAGGGCCGGCGCCCGGAGCACGGCCGGCGCTGCGGGGAAGGGGCGGGGTGCGCACTGGAGAAGCCAGCGGGGAAACTGAGGCGGCGGCGCCTCTCGCTCACACCCGCGCGCGAGGAGGACGGGCCTCGGCCAGGCCAAGCTCGGAGGGACCGCCGCACCGCACCTCGGGGCCCAGGACTCCCGAGGGGGTGAGGCGCGCGGGAACGGAGCCGTGGGGGCAGCACGGTCTGTGCGCGACTCGGGGTCCGTCCCAACTCCGACCGCCTCCCCTCGTCGCCCGGCACC